TTTTTTTCTGTTGTTTTGAATTGAGTAATAAATTTCTCTGTGTAAAATAAATATGAACCAATTCTCAGTGTAGGACAAAAAGCAATCATCGGAAACGTGAATTTAACAAGCAATCGTGATTACAATCACGGTGCTATTATAAGGATTTATATGGGTATAAACAAGGTGCTTTTGCTCCTAAACGGACATGGGGACCCCTCATTTTTGTTTCAAAATTTAAGTTCCTATAATATAAACAATCAATAGGCAAAGTTTCACAAAAATCTCAGTGCAGGTTCTATTTCAGTGGAATGACCTTAAGGTATTAGTGATTGCATCTAAAGCTATCCACGGGCTTGCGCCGGAATATATCAGTGATTTAATTGGTATGGAGAGTACATCGCGCTATTCTTTGAAATCAAACAAAGAACGCTAGCTTCTCCTTGAGTTGCCACTAGAGCGAACAAAGAGAACATTGAGGGACAGTGCTTTTTGAACTGCCGCCCCAAACCTATGAAACTTGCTACCCAGTAGTATTCGGAACACTAGAACTTTGGAAAATTTTAAGAATATGTTGAAAATGTATTTATTTAGGCTAGCTTTTAAAACCATGATTTAATTAGAATTAATTTTATTCATCTATTTGTTTACTTCCGATAAACGGCCACTTGCACGTGCGATCGACTATCAAAACAACCACACTTGCCTTTCTTGATTCCGCCATCCACAGCTCAAAGGCAGCCCAGCGCTTGGGGCAATATTTCTTTGCTCCTTCAATATCACTGCATTTTTTGTGTGCCTTTTTATCAGACTCGTTTTTAGGGATTGGTTCCGCGTTAAAGTAACTCTCAGACGAATTCAGCTTAGCTCTAAATTTCGTTACGGCAGTCTGATTGTCTGATTCTCCAGTCACTTCCCTTGCGACTTCCACAATCTAACAATAACAAAATCGTAATTTACGTTACGAATAAAACATGTCTGTAGTTAAGTTCCTGGTTTGATCAATATTACGCAAGGCCTTGTTATTAAAAAGAAACTACCCGATGACTGAATTTAGCTTCTCAAATCATTAATAATTCATCAAGTTAGAACAAAGAAAATCACAACCATGAAGAAGATTTGACAATTTTACTTCTCCGATTACTCCTTAGTTTAATTGAGAAGATCCATCAAACATTTGAGAGGCTATCCAAACACCTCGAATTTCGTCAAAAATACTCCGCTGCGCGTCGTCTTTTCAACTCTCTTCTTGGTGTTTGGATATCCCGATGAAACACTGTCTCTCGCGTTTGATATATGACTTTCCAGGGTTATCAAGTCCAAAAGTATACTTCACATTATCAGTGAAGTTCCATATCACAAAGTAGCCCAAAAATCTTTTGGGGCTAGAAATCGAAAACAAATATATATACAGTTAAGCAACGGAAAAAAGTAAGGGGAATGCAATGCTGTCTATGCCATGTGAATCAATGTGCTCATTGTTGTTTTAAGAGAAACTTTGTCAACTGTCCAATCTCTGAAATACTGATCCAAGGTGGCTGAGGTACAGATCCAACGGGCGCAGACACAAGTCTAAGATGGTGCAAGGTAAAAGTTCTGCATACGAGCCAAGTGGCCCATTAGACCGGAGCTTATCCCGGTTTCTGTAGCATAAAGTGACTAGGAATATTTCTCAGACTGCCCCCTGGATGGGATGCTAGTCCATTGCAGGGTTACCCCAGCATTAAATTCGCCGGTACCCATTTTTGCAATCGGGTGGAGAGAGGCACTGTGAAAATAAAGTGTCTTGTCCCAGGCTAAGGCTCGATCCCCAACCTTTCGATCCGGAGACGAGCGCACTTATACCATGAGGCCACCACACCTCCACATTCTAAGATGGTGTACAGTGCGAGAATCAAGGTGCTGTAGACACAGCCTCAAGATGGTGCAGATGAAGGTTCACGATCATGTACAGCTTCAAGATGCTGCGGATGCAAGTAAGTTCGCGGCATTTTTGACCGAGAACTAAAATGATCCATTTTAATCATTTTAATCAAGTTCACCCCTTTGTTTATTTTAGTCTTTGTCACATGTAAACATCCTCAAACTGATGATGGATACAGAGTATCTGAAACATGTCTTCAAAATTTAACAGTGTGTGTATTTTCTTCAAATGTGAAATACAAATGTGATGAAACATACCATGGGATAGAGAATGCTGAGTTGCTTTTTGCCGAGTTCATGAACTTCCATCGGGGTCATGGCATTTGTCGTGAAATACGACATGATTTGGGAGTAGGCCTGCGATCCATTCAATGCTTGACCAGTGGGTAGATATGGGTCTGTTGGCCAGGACGTGTTCTCTTTACCATCGAGCCAAACATACTTGAGTGGAAGGTTGGCCAAACCGCTGGACACATTACTCGGAACGCAGTGACGGATGTGTTCAAATTCGACATATCTAAAAATAAAAATCGAAACTATTAGTAAGGATTTCCTAAGATAAATAGTTGCTCTTTGAAAGAACATCTTGCCAACCAAGTTATTTTACACAGGACCTAAGTTGATAGCAGTTTTATAACTGAAATGGTCATCCTGCATAAATATGTTTATTTATTATTATTATCATTGTCAATATCAGTATCATTATCATTATCATTATCATTATCATTATCACTGTCATTGTCATTGTCATTGACATTGTTCTTGTTCTTGTTCTTGTTCTTGTTATTATTATTATTGTAATAATAATAATCGATTAAACAGCGACTTATGATCACTTGACACGATATTTCCCAATTAAAACATAGGTATACCACAAATGTCGCGATAACAGCTTTGATTCCAGCTAAAGTTATTTCTTCGGGCAAACGTTCATTTCAACGTAACAACAACGTCCGAACTTATGTTTAAAACCAGGAGCCATAATCGGGGACGGAGACCGTAAGTCTCGGGATTCGCGCGCACCTATGATATGGGACAATTTTTCTATTTTTAGAACAAATTGC